ACCACCGCCTCCCTGTGTTTATCATTTCCATCCATCCTTCTTTCCTATCCCTTCATGCCTTCTGAACTTTGTTGCTGTTAAGTGCCATCAAGTCGGTTCCGACCCATAGTGACATGTATAGGTTTCTGAGGAGTAGATGGTAATCTTGAACTGCTGACCTTGCAGATCAAACTGACTTTGCAGTCCAGCACATTAGCGCTCAGCACTACATCGGGACTCCTGAACTTTATTCCTAGGCAAATGCTACCTTTGGTCTTGTATATTCATTGTTCTACAGAGTCCGTACCTCCCTCGCGTTATTGTTCACCTTATGGGCCTGTGTCTCTTGTTTGGCTCAAAACTGAGTCATGGGGCCAAATTCAATTCTAGGCTTGAAAGGTGTCTAAGGGCCATAGTCTCAGGTGTTCCAGAGTCTCTATCATATCAGGAAGACTGTCTTTTTATGACTTTCAGTTTTGCTCCACATTCTTCTCCCAATCTAGTAAGGCCTTCCCATTGTGATCCCTTTTCAGAGCAGTCAGCAGTGGTAGCCAGGCACCATCTAGTTCTTCTGGTCTCAGGGTCGTGGACACTGGGATTCATGTGGTCCACCAGTCTTTGGATTGTTTCTCTGAATCTTTGGTTTTCTTCACTCCTCTTTGCTCCAGAAAAGGAGAGACTAATAGTTGCACATCAGATGGCTACTCAGCTTTTAGGACCCCAGTTCCTACTCAACTAAGCAGGATACAAAACACATTCTTTGTGGACTGTGTTATGTTAATTCAGCTTTATAAAGCCCCTGCCCCCAAACTGTGATCCTGAGCTAAAGGAGAGACTCTTGTAGCACCAAAACAAACAGTCCCACTCTTGTGGCTTCTCATTTTGCTATTTTACTAATTATCATAAACTGCATGGATCCTTGTTATTCAAAACTGAAACCAATGACTGAACCAATAATCAAAAAAGATTAAGTCCACATTCTTTTGCTAATCTTTTGACACAGGAGTTAAAGTCTTTTGAATTACAGATCCACTGATAATGGTTCCACACTCTCTTATACTAACCACACCTATCACCTATCGTGCAGCATCTGAAAATTCCAGTTTCAGTTTCTTTACAAGAGAAGCAAGTACTTAAAAGATAGGTGACAAGGATCTAAAGGAAGAATTCGTCCTGATTTTAAAATCATTTTTCACAAATATTTCCTTTTTAGTTACCTTACATTTAGTCTTCCCAAGGCAGCTAAATTCATTTTCCAAGAAAGAGTATTCTTTCATTTTGCAATTATGTATCATTGATTTAGGCAATTTTGTGATTACAATAAAAAGTCCAAATGGTCAAAAATGGATTATTCATTTTTCATTCAACTGGTGGAGCAGTGCAGTGGGTATCAGTCAGTTACATCTTGTAAAAAGATAGAAAATGTCCATGAGTCCAATGAGTTGATTAAGTGGAGGTCTGATAATAGCAAAGTTCCCAGTTATAAAAGACCTAAATTCACTTCTTACTGATTTTATCATATTAAAGCACATAGAACAACACAGGGAACATAAGAAGTACTAAGTATTTACTACCATTAATATTTAACAGTGCATAAATTCCACATAAATTCCACATACTTTTACATGGTCACCAGAATCACAGAGACTACCTATCCTTATGAATATAGGGTACAGTCTGTTCCACATTAACTTAAGTGGATTATTCAAGTGTTTAAAGGAAGAAATTGTTAGAAACAAAGTAGCTCCCATGTCAGGTCAAAATGAATTGAAGATGCAGACTCACAAATGAACTGAACCGTACCCAAACCAAAATTCATAACAACCCTCTAAGGCACAGAGTCCAGCAGCCCCAGAGTACTTCCAAAGCTGAAATCTTTACAGAAGCTGACTGCCACATCTTTCTCCTGGTGGGTTCAAACAGTCAAACTTTTGGTTAGCAACCACACACTTTACCATAAGGTAAAAAAAGGAATGCTAAGAACATGACTATCTCCTAAAAGTGGCAGCTAGAGGAAGAGAGTCCCTACCGACACAGGAGGCTACTTCCCCAACCATCAACTCACAAATGCCAAAAAATACCTTTACACAAAAGCCAGAGAGCGCATCCCAAAGCTCAAACAAGTAACTTTCCGTGTAACTGTCTGTCGATAGGAACTTAACGTGCTAATAGAAAAACTGAGCGTATACAAAGGAAGCATGCAAGAAAAATATAAGTAATGAACAACTGAAAATCTAAGTAACACATGTGGGTACTTGGCCATTTTGTTTCAGTTCAAGTTTTATGATTATTTCTAATTTACAGGTGTCAAAACTGGAAGCAACATGACAGATCTGTGACACTCAGGAAGTGCAGTTCTTTCTAACACTCTTGTCCACTAGGAAAGCTTCCACAGTGGCACTGACTTTCTTCCTTCTATGGACACCAACAAGTACTGCAAGTCTGAGGAACAGTTAGGAGAAAGGAGGCCGCCCATGAGGCTGCACAAGTCCCACTAGATGGCACTATCACAGGCAAGTCACTCTGCTCTCCCATTTGGAGCAAGGGCTGACACTCTTGATCTTTGCAAAACAGAAATCGGCCATCAACAACATCAACATCCTCAGTGAAAAATGATGACCAGGATGAAGAATTCAAGGTTAGGAGAAGGTGTTTTCCCAAAAGCACCCTCTCACCTAGTACCAACATCCCCTCCCTACTGCCATTTCAAATAAATCAATGGCCGGAGAGCTAAGATGTCTTGCAGGTAAAAGAAGTCATACAAAATGGAGATTCTTTTCCTCTTCCTAACTTGGCAAACTACAGAAGAATTTGTTCATTTCTTTACAATTTTTTTGCTGTGGGGAAAAGATTCTCTTGGTAGTCTCTGAAAAAATATATTTACTGTAATCAATTACTTACCATGACCAGAAACATCAAAATAATATACAACAAATGGCATTAAAAACAACTGGACATAAATTAACTGTTTCCTTTACAGACACTAAAATAGAACATTCTATTAAATCACTAGGTCACTATATTAAAATATGCTGGCACCTTTGTTACATAGGCAGCAAAATACAGATGCACCACTCATGCATGCCCATCACTGACGACCTGTCCCATCAAGAATCTATAGCCATCATGAACCTATGAACAATGTATAATAAAAACAGCCTAACACATAGCAATGGAAACTCACTTTTACTCAATAGGCAGCCAACTGAACAGACAGACATGAACAGGAGCCTTATCCGGAATTGCCAAGTTAAAGGAGACAGCAAGTCTTTCTGAGATAATCACTTGAACTAAAGATGAGTTTGATACTCAGATACACTGCTTACTTCTAGTTGGTGCTCAGGGCCATAGACGTCAGAGAATTTACATCAGTACACGGAAGTTCAATAATCAGTACTATACACTATATACCCAGGTGTACAGCCAATCCAGAGTGCTACAAAAGTCAGTTTAGTGCCCAAAGAAATCAAGAACTTCAAAATGTGCAATGAATCCTGTGTTCCCAAAGCACTCTGACAGAGCTTCGATAGCTCTCATCAGTCTCTTCTCTCCCTCATCCCTAACAGCCTGCACAATGTCTAGCATGCAGCAGGCACTTAATATCTGTCAAATGAATAAAAGTCATCAAGGTATCCCAGATCACCAAAATGATGAGACCTACCAGAGTCTGGTTTTTCCAACTAAACCTTGAACAATAACTTCTGTAAGAAACTGCTAGCCAAAATATGAGACTAACGTGTAGAATTGTTTCTACGAAATAATTATCAGGCTGTGGACCACAGGAAAATGATGATGATAAGCCTAAAGGTAGTAATCCCTATGGTGCTGGCTATGAGGAATAGGATTCCTTACAAAACATAGGAAGAAATCTATCCCATGAAGTCAAAGATCAAAAATTCATGTATCTCCAACACAAGTAATGGAACAATCTTGGATTGGTGAAGCTGTTAAATAAAACATCATCATAGATGTTTGACGTATTGTATCAAAATCATGAAAATTTTTCCACATGTCATACTAAAATCACGCTGTGAGCAAAGGAGTGAAATAGCCACTAGCCTAGGATGCCCATGAAGTTGTAACATTACCTGACTGCCACACTGCTCATCAAAAGGGCTTGCTCTTACTTCATTCACCACATGACAAAAATAAAAACCGTGAACAAAAGCTAAAACTAGGAGAAGACAGAAATCAGTCTGCAGGTGTAACCAGAAAGAATCTGCTGAGCCAAGAGACACAGCAGTGGCAGGTTTCTGAATATCAGTGTTCGGGGGGAAAAATTTATTCAATTATAACAGAAACTGCTTGAGAAGGACTGTGACGATCATAGTATTCACTTGCTGTTCTTTAGATACATGGTCTAAAAGGACTGAAGATCCTGAAAACGCTACCTAAATCATGCAGAATTCATTATTTTTTAATTTCTAAAACCCTTAATAACTTGTATAACAATGTAAGCTACTGTGCTCTACCAATATAAAAATTGAAATTATCCCTTTCATTATATATAAGGAGTCCTAGTGGCACAACGGTTAAAGTGCTTAGTGATGAACCAAAATGCCAGCCATTAGAACCCACCTGTCACTCGGAGGGACAATGATGTTGCAGTTTTAGAACCCCTACCGGGCAGTTCTACTCTATCACAATGAGTCCAATGGACTCAACAGCAGTGGGCAGGATACCATGAAACTTGAGAAAATCCAGTGTACTGAAGCTCTACAGTGCTTTATACTTTTAACATGGCATAGACTCTACACAGGCATCAAGTTAGTATTCTTGCAATAAATACCTTGATAAATCTCTCATATAAGGTAAAAAAGAAGTATATACTCCCATGTTGAACACCTTCAAACACACTGTTAAATGATTATCGGAATGACTGGCAGGATGTCAAAGTTCACTAGAACCATTAGTCAAACCCTCTTCCCTGTGATCCCACTAACAACATGGAAACCCAAACTGTTCTGAATCATTTTTTCTGTGTTTAGACCATAAACAATGCTTGTTATCATTTTACTCACCTTACTAACACCAACTCCAGTAAACCTGGCCTCTAATAATTCCTGCCGTCGTGGGTCCAGGCTATGCAATTCTTCCATCATTTCTACTGAAAAAAACAAACAAACAAAAAGTAAGCGATGAGACCAAAACACTACAAAAGGAAAAAACCAATTTTTAGACATGACAAAACTTACAGCAGTTTTTTGCTGCATTGTCACATGCAAGCGATAAACTACAATGTTACACCAAGTGGTGCATTTAAGTCAGGAAGCACCAAAGAAGTCCCCTTCTATTTTTGATTATTGATTTTAACAGCAGAAGACTCTTCATTGAATCTCTGTCAAAGGTGAAGTGTGTGTCTGTGGGTGTGAGGGGGAGTTGGATAGTGAGGAAAAACAATATTAAGAACTAGCTTGCAGAAAGAAAATTCTTCCATCAACTTGTGGAGCTGAGTATTTTTGACTTTCCTTTCACAAACACACTGAAACTAGTTCTTAAACTATAGACGATTAATAATCATTTAAAAAGCACAGAGCATTAATCAGATGCTACATATAACTCCTTTCTCTAAAGAAGTCACAGGAGCTCATAAAAAAAAAAAAAAAAAAAAGGCATTATTTTTAATTTAATAAGGAGCCCACAGCAAAACCATCAACTTGCAGCCACCCTGGTTCAATCTAGCTCCATTCCTTCACAAAATCTTTTTTTGGACCCCTCCCAGGAGCAATAGGTTTCTCTGAGACTCTGCACATCTGCTTCAGCTCCTTCTAGCCAGGAGGGGCAGGAGGACACCATTTTTAAACTCCTCCCAGGACCAATTAATGCTCAGGCTACTTTCAAGAACATGTCCATCCTATGCAAAAGATCAACTCTTATAACTCATAGGAAACCTCTTTAATATTAAGGTGAAAGGGGAGCATACCACTATCTAGAATACTACTGGAATGACTGGCATGATTTAAAAGTTCCCTGACAGCATGAAGCCAACATTTGTCTGCAATCTAACAACTCCACAATATCCGGTAACAAGCCCTACAAGTCCTCCAGTTTCATTTTCCTTCCTGGATTGAGGGCCTGGGGGCAAAGGGGAATGAAAAGGAGACAAATTAAAAGTTTCACCCACCCACCCACACCCACATCCACAAGTAGGAAATTCTAGGAAGGGTACAAAGGCATCTTTTTAAAAGAAAGAAAGAAAAAGAGAACAGGAGATGCAGGGTGAGTTTCCTCGCCTGTCGACTTAGAATGCCTAATCGAGGCCAGAAAAGCAGACGTTGCTGCCTCCCTTCAACCCCAGGGTCCCTCGAACATTTTACCGGGACTCCAAGCCCAGGACAGGCCCGGAAAAAGACGCCCTGGCGGTTATTCCACTTAATGTCATCTCGTGTTAAGGAAATCGCCTGTCTCATTCTGGCGGGGCCCGGGTCAGGAGCCTCCCTGTGGCCCATAGCCTTGGGAAGCCACACAGATGGGGCCTGGTCCCCTCACCCCTCGCGGCCCGCCGGCTCCAAACTTTTCCCCAACTCCAGGCCCACCTGTCACGGAGGGAGGGCGAGCTAGCCCTCGGGGGCGCCCGGGTGGCTGCCGGAGACTCCAGCTGCTAGGGAGCCCCTTCTCCCCGCCGCCCGCCGGCCCTACTCCCAGACCGGGGTAGCCTGGGCCTCCCCCATCTTCGGCCCGGCCCCTCGGCGACCCGCAGCCCTCAGGGAGCCGCTTCCGCCTCAACACCAGGAGCTGCGGCCCGGCCCCGGCCCCCGGGTGGGCCCCGACCGCAGCCTCTCAAGGCCTAGGGGGTCTCCGGGACGGTTAATGCCTCAGGCCCGACGCTCTCCCCCGCTCGGGGCTCAGCCTCTCACCTGCCGCCGCCGCCGCCGCTCCACGCTCCTCCCGGGAGGGGCCCCGACCCGACCCGGTTGCGGGCCGCTTCGCTCTTCCCCTGGGCAGGCCCGGGGCGGAGCCGGGGCCTCTCCTGAACGCCGCAACCCCCCGCCCGAGCAGCCGCCGGCGCCGGGCTCCACGAGAGGGCGGGCGGGGGAGGGGGGGGGGGGGGGGGGGAGGGCGGGCGGGGGAGGGGGGGGGGGGGGGGGGGAGGGCGGGCGGGGGAGGGGGGCCGCGGAGGCCGCAGATCCCCGGGCTCGCGTACAGAGCCAGGCGCCCGACGCCGTCCCGGGCCCGGGCGGCCGCGGGGGGCGCGGGACCGGCCTCCTGGCGCCGGACAAAGGCCAAGGGAGGCGCAGGAGGACCCAAGCCGGGCTAGGAGGTGGGGGCCTCTCGGCTGGGGGCCACTCGGGTGCGGCGCGGAGGGTGGGGGGTCGGAACCGCTGATGCCTGGGACCCGCCTCCGGCCCCTTAATCCGGATCGGTTCGGTCCGGATTAGTAGTGATCGGTGTAAACACACTAGTGAAACCGCGTGTTTCCTCGCGAGATTTGCACGGCTGGGAGGCGGGGGGGGGGCCTGAGGGGGTGGGGGAAGAGTCGGCGGTGGGGGAGGGGAGAAGGAAGGTGGAGGGGTCCCCGCTGCCCCGGCGCCCCGCCTCCTCCAATCAGCGGCCGGGCTGGCGGGCAGGGGTTAACAAGGGGACCCCGCGCCCGACTGAGGAGGCCGCCGCCTTGCGGAGTGGCTGAGGCTGGGCGGCTGAGAGGCGCCGGCAGCCGACCTGCGACGCAAGGGGAGGTCGGGCAGCCCCGGGGGCGCCCCGCGACTGGCCTGGGCCCGCCCTGCTGCCCGAGTCCCTGAGGTCCTGCCACCGTCTTTGTGTTACCGGCCCCCGCCCCGCGGGACCGACCCTGGCGGAGAAGTAGGGCGGACGCCTGGGGCCACGGGCCAGCGATGCAGGGGCCTCGCCGCCCTAGCCTGGCCTTCCCCGGAACCCCGCGCCCCCCTAATCTCTCAACAGCATGAGTTTGGGTTAACAGTGGGCTCGCTCTGCCTAGGGATGGATTTAGAGGAAGAAAGTCAGGAGCCGATGGACCCCGCCCGAAGTTCCCCGGAGACGCCCGCCCTGTTAGTGAGTTCGTTATGCCCACCCATGGTCGCCGGCTCCCACTCCCCGCGGCTCTCCAAAAAGACCTTCCCGCTCCCAAGCCCACACTTGCCGCCCTGGAAAACGAGTAGCACTTACCCTCCACATACCTGGTTGGCAGGGCGTCTCCAGGGACAAAAGGTGCCCTGGGATCAAAGCTGAGCCCCCACCCCCACCAGGATGCTGCCCTCCGGAAGGGGGGGCGCTGCCCCAAAGGGACTCTCTCCGAGCACCCAGGGAGAGGTTCCATTTCAACCTCTGGTAAAAAAAACACGGTCCTCCTGGTACGCAAGGGATACGAGGGGACGTACTCGAATGGAAAAAACAGGCCTGCCTCTCAGAATTTCTTTTTAGGAACGAGAAAGGTACGGTGAGCTCTAGGATGCAGTAGCCCCTGCAGCAAAGCGAGGCTCCCTACATAAGAAAAGGCGCCCACTGTGATCACCAAGCGCTAAAGAAAAAAATCACGTTCTCCACCGACTCCCCAGGGGCCAGGAAACTGACTTCAGTGCAAATATCCAACATTTTCTTTTCCTCTGATGGTTCCTTGATCAGATGTCTGAAGATGACTTAAAGACTACAGGGGAACCCGAGGGGGAATAAATCAGATTCTGGACAACAAATAGCCTTGGACTTTTCCAGGGGTACGATAGTACTCCAAGTGGAGTTTCTGCCCTTATTTCAAAACGACCATGTTGTATTAGCTGGAAATAACTGGAAAGGGCAATGGATGGCAAATTAGTTTTTGTTCTCAAACCTTCCAAGCCCTCCAGGCAAATTGAAGCACTATGGGAAAATTCCATTAAACTGAGAGTCCTCATCATCCGGATCCCAGACTACCTAGAAAATGCACACACGTTTTTTCCAAAGATAACTAAAGATGGAGAAGGCAAATTGGGAAGCTATTGCTATTAAGTGGCATCGAGTCAGACTCATAGCAACCCTGTATAGGGTTTCCAGGGAGCAGCTGGCGAGTGAACCGCTGACCTTGCAATCCAGTGCTTTAGTCCACAGCACAGCGCCACACCAGGACTCACCACATTGGGAAGAGAGGGTCCAAAAAGGACGGAAGGGGGAGGGCTATCAAGGGACAGCAGACTCTCCAAGATAAACTAGTTGCTGGGGGTCTGACTCATGGTGACCCTGTGTGTGTCAGAGTGGAACTGTGCTCCATATATATTTTTTCTATGGTTGATTTTTTTGACCCTTCCTCCAAGTGCCTCTGGGTGAACTCAACCTTCTACCTTTTACCCCACCCACAGACTTCACACTTCTTGATAGGGCGAGAGAACCAAAGAGCTGTTAGTAAGCACATGACTTGCCTTACCCCCACCACCACCCCCAATCCCAGTGTCTTAGAGAAAAGCAAATGTGGCAGTTGCTTTCATTAAAGGGAATCATCAAGGAAGTAATTCCTTATTTGAACCTTGTTGTGGGGTTTCCAAGGAGCAGCTATATGGTGGGTTTGAACTTCTGCCCTTGTGATTAGCAGTCCAGGATACTGGAATGTCTTAAATGAGAAAATGAAAGAAATGGCTCTGAACAGAATCAGTCCAGCTCTTCCACAGATGAGCTACATGGGTCAGCTACCTAACTGTTTTACGCTTCCTCTACCTTTTCAGTCCTGCTGTACTGCTCTGGGCTCAGTTTGAACTCCAAGGTTGGTGATTCAAACTTACCAGCTGCTCCTTGGAAACTCTGTAAAGGGTCGCTGTGGGTCGGAACCAACTCGACAGCACTTAACAACAACAACAACCTCTTCTGTGAAGGGAGGTTTTAGACTAAAAGGCTTCCAAAATCTTCTTTCCAAGTCTAAAAGTCTATGATGATGTTGTTGTTGTTGTTATGTGCCGTGGAGTCAATTCTGACTCATAGGGACCCTATACAGGGTTTCTGAGGCTGTAAATTTTTATGAAAGCAGAATGCCTCATGTTTCTCCCGTGGAACAGCTGGTAGTTTCGAACTGCTGACCCTGAGGTTCGCAGCCCGATTTGTAACCACTATGCTACCAGAGCATTTAAAAAACAATTTTTGAAAGTATTGGTTGGAACAAAGGGAAAAAAGATTGTTAATCTCACTTTTTCTAGCGGTTCTTTGTGTTACAAAGCATTCACACTGGCGGGCCTATTCACAATCCCAGTCTAAAACCCATCCCACTAGGAATTGCCTATAGGAATTTAATAAATCTGCTTACCACTGAGATTGGGTGCTTCCATTTATAAGAATCATATAAATGAGAATCTCAAATATCAACAGAAGGCCAAAGGATATAGAAAAATTTAACTTACTCTTTCCCAGAGAAAGAGGAATATTTTCAAAAGAAATACTAACATCAGATGGTTCTCTTATAATGTCACTTAACCTTGGGTACATAACCAACTTGTTTAAAATGTGTTTGACTCCATTTTTCATGGAATGGCAAATGGTGATAAGCTTCTTATTCAAAGACCCAATTCCTACCAGCTGTGGATGGCTTTTCAATGATAGGACTGGAAGATGTACACATTGATCATCTGATGGTTCCTACCTTCAGGGGAATGAATGTCTAGCCCCAGATTCATAGTCATAGCATAGAAAGGACCGCAGAGTCGGACATGTTGCACACTGCTTCTGTTCCCAAAGGTGTGCTCTGCAGATCGCCATACATTAATACACTTTACGAATTGCGCTGCTAGTCTCATGGTCAGCATTTCAAAACTACCAGCTATACCATGGGAGAAAGATGAGGCTTTCTGCTTCCATAAAGATTTATAGCCTCAGAAACCCTATAGAGAATCACTATGAGTTGGAACCTACTCAACAGCACATAACAACAGCAACAAAGGAAATACAGTCACATTGATGGAATAACTTGGGAAACTTTGGGTTACAGTTTAACAGTATTTAGTTGGAGTACTTTGTTGTTGTTGTTATGTGCTGTTGACTCAGTTCCGACTCATAGTGACCTTGTATAGGGTTTCTGAGAAGCAGCTAATGAGCTTGAACTGCTGACCTTGCCGTCCAAACTGACATTGTGGTCCAGTGCATTAACTCACAGCACCACACCAGGACTACTGGACATATAACCTATAATATGCTAATATGCGTATATCAATCTCTAAAAGAAAAATTCAGGTAGTCAGTGTTTTCCTAACGTTTATTTTCAAACTAACCACCCTGGTCTTCTGTGTTTTTTAGGTTGGCTGGTTGTTTCCAGATAGCTCATGGAGAAGATGTTCTGGGTCAAACTAGAGTAGTTTAACCCTCTTTGCAAAGAGTTGTCCTCACTCCCAGCTCTATACTCTATAACTGGTACCATACCAATTATTATCTAGCAACTTCTAGAATATTCCACAAGATCCATCATCAAAGAGTGTGGCATAGGATACTGAGCAGGTTGACAGTGTTCAGGAATCTTGATTGCTTTACTGCTCCTCTAGTCCTTTCGTGAGAGGAAACTGCAGTGTGGTGGTTCATTGGACAGGCTTCCTAGTCAAGGTCCTTGAGTAAAACCTAACCCCTGACCCTTACCAGCTGTGTAGCCGCAAACAAGATCTTACGGCTCATCTAAGCCTCAGTGTCTTTATCCATAAAATGATGTTAAAACCCGACTAGACTGGTAGAGGAATAAATGTGTCTGGTATCATAATCCTGAATAAATGGTCCCCAAATATAGCTTCACATTTCCACACATAGATTTACACATTTGTTATTGGACTAATTTGGCAGCATAGACTTCAACCTCAGAAACCAGTCTGCCAATATACTGAGTCTTTATTAGTGGTATTATTTTCTTCATAACAAGGATTCGGTATCTTTTTAATGAAAACATTGCATTTGTTAAAAATGTAGAGAAAAAAGCGTAGAAGCTACTTGATCTGTTAATGCTATCGTTCCCACATGCTCAAGAAATTGAGGTTTTTAATGGTCTGAAGAAATACGGGATTTTGTGAAGGTGGTTTTTCCACTATCAGTGACTACAGGCAGGACCGTGTAGAACTCGTAAA